ACTCACTGATCCTGTCCTGGGACCATCTATAGATACAAGATTTTCAAAATCGGCCATTTAGTAGTAATTAATAATTAATACAGAAGAAGAGCTAAAGAATGCACCAAGAAATGTTGTTACCTCGAGGTTCAGCAATAGCGCACGTCAAATCTAGTACACCACATTGTCCTTCCCAGATTTTGATCCAAAAAACATGAGGCGAATCGTTTGCTGGATCCACAGCAACACAAGTTATGTACAAGGTTTTACATGCCGATACTCCTTCCTTATAGTATTTCTCTATGCGACGGAGCGCATAGTTTGTCCCCTGAAGAAATTGTTTCTCATTATTTAATGTGGACGGTGAAATTGTTAATGATGAAAGAAGAGTTATAATGATTTTTACCTCGTAGAAATTGTAACGATGAAGGCCCAGCAATGTATAAAGTTTGAATAAGCAAGGACTTGAACGAGGATCATTATGATCCCAGATCTTTTCAATAAGTCGTGCTGTACCCTTGCCCACGAAGGGCTAGAAGATCCATTAATAAAAGCATACAAGAAAGAAAGAGAATTTGTTAAATTTCCGAATTCCGATTTAACAACCAAAAATAAGCAAAGCAAGCGAGATTCCTCCCAATTGGCTCGAAAAGAAGACAAACTAGTCAGTCACAATTGGATCGAAAGAATTACATCGTATATACTCTCTGGTATGCACGGACGTGCCGACCCCGAGCCGTTATGACGGGCCGTTGGCCTCCCCATCCTCTCCCTCCTCCTCAATCAAGATTCAAGGCTGTGCGCTTCGAAATTACGGCGGATGCAAGCGAGCGAGCGGCGGCTAGATGCTTTGGCCTCCGTTTAGGTTTGCCTCACGCGAAGATTATTATTGTATTTATAGTACATACATACACCCCTCCTCAATCCTCATCCTCATTTCTGGGCTTCTATTGGGCCTTCGCAACAAGAGATGTCAATTTTCCAATTTCAGAATTGTTGTGCCGATCCAAACAAACCGTTCTTACTAGAACAAATTCAATTATTTGATTGAGATTGTTTTGGTTATTAATCAGTTGCTATCTTTTTTTACATTTGGTAGGGGAGAATTCTTAGGTAATAATAAAATATAGGCACAAAAGTATTAAACAATAGTTTGATGAAATGGAACAAATGTTGAAAAAAACAAAATTTTATCATTGATTGTTTTTTCGGAATCTAGATGATTTTAAAATTTATACAGATTAATGACCTACTCATTACAAGCAAATACACAAAATTCATCTTTAGTTTGTAAAAAATTGTCATAAATAGTGTACCATTATCAAATGTAGTTATATTAAACCAAATTAAAAAACATCATTTCCATAACATTACAACCGCAAGAGAAACCTGATGCACATTGATGTATTTTTTTTTCTTTTTTTCTTATACAATTCATGTAGAACCTTTTTTTTTTGATAAAGGATTATGTTATCCATGTAAATATATAGAAACTTAAACTTGTCAAATGTAGAACCCTTGAACAACGATCATGTTCATGATCTCTACGACTCTACTCAATCATAGTACAGTTATCATCGCTTTACCATATTTTTTTTCTGGTAGTAGAAGTTCTCGTGACCATTAACCAAATTATTACTCAAATTACAAGAAATTGGAATCTACATTATGCAATAATCAAGATTTGAACCATATACTTTAACAAATTCCCTTCCTTAAATTAATTACTGAATTCGAATTAAAGACTAAACTTTGTTTATTGTCTACGGAAACAACAAAAATGATGTAAATCGCAATTCAAAGCATGTCTCTTGAGTCTTAACAAGAATTGAAACAAACACAAAATAAAAAGAGCTTACATAAGAAAAAGAAAAAACACGCTGTAGAAAGTAAAAACAAGACTTCCTCAAGTTTCGAGTCCTTGAGTCTAAAATTATATGAAAACCACAATGGGCATTAGGCATTAGCACACACACAAAAGGATGATTTGACAAAGAAAAGCTACAATCTTTATGAACATCTGCCAATCAATATTTCACAATGTTGCGGTTAGAGTGTACCTTGGCGATGTTGGCACAATGTACCGCATGATTCATTCGCTTTTTCCCATTGAGTCTCGTGGCGAGCCTCATGACTGATCGCCACCTTGCATTGGCATTCAAATCATACGAACCCTCAAAAGCTTTGGCCAGAGAATCAGCAATCACACCTTCTGCTAATGCATACTCTGAGACCTCCATTTCCTCGATACCCAGAGCCTTGAATATTTCCTCCAACAATACAGCTCCAGCAACAATGAACTCTGACCTTCTCTTGAAAAATCCTTCTCTCCGGATCTGCTCTTCATCTCCTTCATTGCATAGCTTCTCTACAACACCGCTCAATTCTCTTCTACCAAATCTCCAATCCCTCTTATACCCCTCCAGATTGAATTGATACAAGTCCGTTCCATAGCCACTGAAAAGAGCATTCTCAATAGCTCGTATGGTTCCCGACGATCCCACGACCACCTCAAAGCCATCGGATTCCTTCAATTTATCTGCTAACCGAGACTCATCAATCGCGTGACGGATAAAGTCTCTCATTTTCGTCAATTCAACACCATTTTTCATGAACATTTGTGTCAAATTCACATGACCTAGCTTCAAAGACACAGCAAGCTTCACATCACCACGCTTACCCACCACGAATTCAGTAGAACCACCTCCTATGTCGATACACAGGACAGATTTCTCAAACACCGGTAGAAACTGAAGCACGCCTAGATAAACCAGCCTCGCTTCCTCTTCACCAGAGAGCACATCGACCCGGAGGCCGAGATCCTCGTACACCGTCTCCACGAACTGTTTCTGATTCTCCGCCTGCCGCAGGGCTTCCGTGGCGACGCACCGGATCCGGTCGCAGGAGACGTTGTGCGAGAGGATCAAGCTTTTGAATTTCTGTAGAGACTGGAGCGCGCGAACCTGGGACTGAGACGAAATTGAGATTGCGGATTCGCGAGACAATACAACTGGCTCTTTGAGTCTCTCGACGGGGACGAAAGATCTTCCGGGAGGATCTGCGTGGACTATAAGAAGCTTGAAAGAGTTTGTCCCCATGTCAATGGAGGTGAAGAGCTGCGATGATGTAGGATTCGATTGCAAATTGGAGTTCATCGTTGATCTTCAATCTTTGGATCAATTGCTCGAATGCAATTGGAATTTTCGATTTCAATCTCCAATTACTGTTTTTTTCTCTCAAGTAGACTATTGAAGTAGATAAAAAAAATTTGGCTTCAGAGTCAAATATTTGTGCTATGATCTCTGCGTTGATTCTCAACTTGTTGATATCTATTGTTCTTGCAATGCAATTGGTATTATTAGATTTTTTAATACAAAAAGAATATTTAAAAAAAACTCAAATCAAACTTTAGCAAGCACTTGAGACCAAGTCTATATACAGTATTTAATTATAAACAAAACAGCATTTAAATTTAATTGCCATTTTAACGTATAACAATCAAACAGCTAACGAAGACGAGAAATAATAGAATATCGGTGAGACCACGGTGTTTGAGGCAGTCACCGCCGCTTCCTACAAAACGGCCGCCACCACCGGTACCACCGCCTTTACCATTTCCCCCGTTGCCTTCGCCACTGCTACTAGAAGATTTGCCATTGCCAGCTCCACCGCTACCTCCTCCTTTACCGCTGCTGCCGCCTCGACCGCTGCTTCCGCCTCCACCACCACCACTACGACCTCCTCCACCTCCACCTCCACCGCCACCGCCACCGCTGCTTCGAAGCTCCCGCCGCCAAAACGGGGAATCATTCTCAACTCCTACTAGGATGGAATTGTGGTTGAGATGGACGGCTGAGACAGAGGAATGCGCATGAATCGCTAGTACCAATAGTAACACGTGAGCCATTGTTTTCATAAGTTTGTGCATCTCCATATTATCTTTTCTGTTATTCGCTAAAAAGGCCAAAACACGCTGTGTTACATATATAATCCGTATACTAACCTCTATATTTATACGAATTTCTTCCGGTCAACCTCTACATTTTGTTTATCATATTATTTTAGTATGGTAAAGACAACTTTCGAGAATCATTCTCGTTCCTGAGAAAAGAGAAATGGTTACCATTAGGGAAATTGTAACAGATAGCCATAAAAAAAAGTAAAATTCACCAAATAGCCATATTAATGTGTGGCTAGAGTATTCTTTGTATAATATGTATTAATGACTAAATTATCCTTCTCTTCTTCTTCTTCCTCTTCTGAAATTCGAACAATTGATTTCTCAATTCTCAACAAACGTGAGATCAATCGCTGTAAGTTATATCAGATTTGATTCTGTTACACCTCTTCCAATCTTGAACCCCTCATTTCAGAAAGAGCATCTTCGATGTTTTTCATAAACTCTGTTTTCTTCCCTAAACCATTTTCATGTCTTTTGCTATATTGTCATCAGCTACGCTCTCTACTTCTTCTTCTCAGTCTATCATCTTCAATCTCCATTCTATTTATTTTTCTTCCAAAAATTGTATGTTATCAATTCTTAAGCGTTTATGTTCATCACGAAATCTGTTGGGGACTTGACCAAATTCTTTTTGTGGCATAATTACTGAGACCCACAAAATGTTCGACGAAATGTCACAAAGAGATATTGTTATGTGTAGTACTATGATTGAGAGGTTAAGATCATGAATTTCTCTCTTTGGTAGAGAATTATTGTGGGTTAAGAAGAAATATGATCCAAAAGAGCATATTGAATGGAGATTGAGATAATTGTTGTTATACCAGAAAAGCAATTTATGTAACTATTATTTTGGAGAACAATGTTTCATTTCAATTGAGAAACATGTACTGTAATTCTTGGATTAACCAATACTATTCTATTTTTATCTATGTAAAATAGACTATAGCTTCAAGGGTAATCTTGACCAGAAAATTTGGTTTTGGTTAGTCACTCTATATTATTTTGTAATGGCTATATTCTTCATTTCAGTCCCCAATATGGTTAAATAGCTAATTCACCCTTACCATTATTACAACAACAAAAAAAAGGTTACCATTATTACAACAACAAAAAAAACCATTTTTTATTCTCTATAATTATCATATCTAGAGCAAGTGGTTCAAGTCAAACATTTTTTGAATCGTTTTTTTTTTATGTTGGTTTTGTTGGTCTGAGGCGTGCAATTAGAATCATTAGGTGAAAAATAGAAAAATAACCAATTGAAAAACTCTGAAAGCATTGAGTTTCTTATTATGAAAATCAAATATCGATTTTGAAAGTGTCTTATTAAGTTGAGTTTCATACGAAACTGTCTTAAAAAATAAAAAGTATATTCAACTATTTTAGTTATTCAAAGGTTTAACCATTTCTTTTCAGTAAATGTAGTATTATATATCTGTCTAGCTAGTACGTGTCGTGCATTGACTATTCAATCCAGGGTCGAGCAGCTCACGCAATTTATCAACGAAAGCATCAAGTAAATTGAGATCAACGACTTTTTGATGTGTATGTCGAGTTTAAGTTTGTATTGTTAAACATCTGACTAAACACTAATGAAGTGCAGATACATAAGTTTCGATAGTCTGTTTTGAACTGAAAATTTTGGTGAAAGAAAGTATAAAAGATAAAAACAAAAAACTTAGATAGATAATCAAATTAATCTAATAAAATATAACAGCCAAACCTTAAGTTTTATGGAAAATGTAATTCAAAATAAACAAAAAAACTTAGATAGAACTAATATATACCTATCACATCTTTACTAATTTGTTACTTATTTTGTTTAAAATTGATTGTTCCATTTTTTCTTTCTAATATGGGTATACTTATCTTTTAGTATATATCTATTAATAGAAAATCATATTAAGAGAGATGTGTATAGGCAGGAAGCTGCTCCGAATTGCTATCTTGAACATCAGTTACATTAGAGGCAGGGGCGGAGCTAGAATTAGTTTGCACCAGAGTCATATATAAAACAAATGGTATAAAAGAGTCATATGAGAAGATTTGAACTTGAGACAAGGGGGTCATTTGACAATATTTAAACTAAATTAGCTATCAAACACATCACAAATATGGGTGAAAATAATTATTTATAAAAGTAGTAGGGGTCAGCTGACCCTCTTCCTCTCCACCTAGATCTGCCCCTGATCAGAGGCCTCTTTCCTGAGCGACAAATCCGTTCCTGCTTTGGGTAAGACGCTAATCCTGATCTCTCTGAAGCTAAACCAAAATTGTGACCTTTGGTTTCTAAATTACTCTGTTACTATGGTTGATCAGTCCAGTAGCCTCTTTCGTCTTTCATATCCTTTACCATTCCCGCTTTGGGTAAGATAGTGATGCGGTTTGTGAATCGAATGTGATAAATCGTTAGATTGATCGTATGGTTACTTAGACTAGTGATATTGAGCTGATGGTATGTGTATCAGTCATTTGAGTTAGGCTAGTGGACGAATTTGATTCTGAAACCCGTTTATCTTGCTTGCCATAGTCTTACGCGTCATTGTCTCCCGTGGATCTGACGTCATCTCTAGAAACGCATAGAGTAAAAGTTAGAGAATATATTTGTTTTTCTTTTGGTTTAGTTATGAAATCTGTATTAGAAAATATTTAAAATATAAATTTTTCTCATCTTTTGCTAAATTATTTCTAAATTAATGTTAAAAAAATTTAAACATATTTTTATAACATAATATTTCGTTTATTTTTCATTTGGTTGTAAACTTCTTCATCTCTCTCATTCTCAATTTCGTAATATTAACTTTTACAAATCACATAGATAATTATCAATCTTTTTTTTACCAAATATAATCTACAATCTTATTAAAAGTAAATGATAAAATAGTTAGTACGACTGCACTATTGAACCATAGAAAAAACATTCACGATTGGGTGGTAAGAAAAAGTGATTATTGTTACAATCTTTTTTCGTTACAAACAAATTATTGTGACAAAATTGATACGAATTATAAAGCATCACAGTAAAATCGTCACAAAAATGTCACAATCTTTTGTAACGATGGATAACGGTAACAATTCGTCACACTGTTTAAACATCACATAAATGACGCAATTTGTGACGGAAAATATCATTACAAATAGGCTACAAACTGTGACAAAAAGAAGTCATATATTTGTATTACCATAATTTAGTCACCGAAGCGTTACAAAATTGTTAGTGGTTGAATTATAGTCACATGATCGTCACTATCTTGTTTTAAGTTGTGACACTTTTTTTTTACTGAATTTGTAACAAATTGTTACCTAGTTTGGTTTACTGTAAAAGATTTTAATTAATTGTAGTAACTTTTTAAAAAAAAAGAAGAAACCATCCCAATAAAACACACACAACTTCTCATTTATTAGGTCTCTTAGAGCCTATTTGGCTATAGATTCTGTTACAAAAGTAGCAGCTCCATGGATAAAATTACACTCGATAGAGGGTAAAACGGACGAGGGTGAGAGAATCCGATTGAAGAATCAGGGAGATGCAACCCAGATCCAACGCTTTGATCAAAGCAGACCTTATCCCGAGAGTTTCTGCCATTGATTCTGTCTCAGCGCATCTGCAGCAACAAGGGCTCAGGGGATTGAGTCTCAAAGCCAACTGTTCCTCTACATATAAGGCTCCATTTAGGGATTAACGAAATCTACAAACACAATTTAAAAGAAAGAGTTGAAATAACTTATGAATGGATATGTACAAGAAAGGTATTTATACAAGAGTAGAGAGGTCCTTATCTAGATACAAATATATTCCCCAACGTTTCAAATTGATAACTGACTAGGAAAATATCACAGTGAAGAATCTCTGGATAAAGATGCCGAGGTTTAGTTCTAGCGCAATGAGGAAATGGTTATTGAGATTGTAACTATATAACTTGCTTTTGATCTTTAATTCAGGAAAAAAACAAAAACCTTGTACCTGCGAACGCTTCAGTTTAATGGTACTGACACGTAGAGCTGAGAAACCCGTCTGAATGATTTTCAGGAAGGAAAAACAACCACTATTTCCTTTTTGAATAGCTTCAAGGCAAAAGAATAACAGAAAGTTATGTATGGAGGAGATTTTGGCCACAAACATTAACGATCATGAATTATTGAGTAATAAAAGTTTTACCCTTTTGAAATGCGCAATTTCTTGCTCCAGTAGTA